TTCTTTTGTCTGGTGTCTGTTTAAGCCAGTATTATTCCATTAGATCTAAATAATACGAACACCAACAATTATATTTTGGGACAAACTAAAATACATGCAGAAATTCAGATAGTTGAAGTGTAGTTGGTTTATTTTTTTCTAATAATGTTTTTACTATATGTAAAACTATGTAATTAGTTAATGGATAATAATATATAGCATTTTTCATATAAAAAGCTTGCACGTCATTTAAGATTTACGTCGTCAGAACCCCACAGCGTTGCCAAAACATCAGAATAATTAGTAGTGAGGAATTTTTAAAATGTCAACTATTTGTCAAACTATTATATTAACAGTAAATACACTTAGTTTTAAGACTACTGCAACACATTAAAATACATAGGAAACATTTTAATACAAAATTATATATTCTAAATTTTAAACTTACCTCTTTTAGGGCTTTAATAGTAAAAACGTCCCGCCATTATTTCTTGTTCAAAATAATCTATCTTATATGAAAGCTTATCAGCTTTACTACAGACTATTTATTTGTTTTGGCATATCACAATTACAATACACAACAATAATTAGTTTTTAAAGCTATTAATCTACATTTAATATGTATTTATAAATACAATTTATTAATATATATCATATTATGATCAAATTGTGTAAGAAATCAAAACATAAACAAGATTCCTACTCTAAAAAAGCGGCAACACTTAATACACTTTTGCCACGCGCTGAACTGTCAATAAGATTTGAAGTATTTCCGTATCAGTTGCGTACAATTGTCTAATATATTTAATTAACATTATTATTTTGTGGAATATTAGACTTAAAGAGTTAGTTTCATAAAATTTATATTATTAATAATAACAAATGTTTTTGGTTATTTAATTAATATAATTCTAAAATTTCCAATATAATGATGATTACATTTTTCTGATTATTACACCATGTTGACGCCTATGAAAGATCGAGCAGTTCCGTATGAGTTTCGTATTATTAGCTGTGTTAGGAAAATTTGACCTCTAAGGTTGATGTGACGTCACTTTGTATAAATCGTGACGTGCAAGTGTTTTACTTTGAAAAATGGTATAAGTTTAAGGAACAACACAAACAATATTTTTGCTCTAACAGAACTCATAAATAATAAACAATATTTATTTTATTGGCAACTCAATTTTGGGATACACCTGTATAGTATTCTTACTTAATTTTATGTGTATCACCATGCATCGTATTGTCGACCTTTTGGAATATAATTTATTGCAGTGTTAAAATGACAATGTGTGGGTACTGTCACGAAAATTATATCGATATTACGAAACTTGTAGACTACAAGATCAAATTATGTATATCGATTCAGGAAATCACCACACCCCAAACCGTATACGGCAAATCTGCATTTTTATCTCTAAATGCACATCTGCATATTTAATGGTATATGACCGTTAGTTTTATTAAAAACTTAATGGACTATCTGAAGGTTGCTTAAGACAAAAAGTGATTGACATCTGTCTAACAGTTATTATGCGACAGCACACACGTTAAGAACATTCTAAAACTGTATGGATGATTGTAAAAAAACGGCTTAAAGTAGTCCTATATAAAAATTGCATTGTAAAATCAAGGGTGTACAAGATCCCTTGTGAGGTTTGCGACAAATTGTACCTCGGACAGACCAATAGAAAAATACAAGTCAGACGAGAAGAACATCGAAATCCATCGAAAAAAGAGAAGTCATCCCTAACACAACATGTCATAAACACATAAATTTTAATGAAAATTTTTTTTCTTAGAAAAATTATTTCATTGCGAAAAATTAAAAAAAGTGTAAAAACATGAATTTTTTATTAAAAACTAAAAAATAGTCCGTCCACTCTAGTGGTCACTATGCACTTGCGGAATTGCGGGAGCGTCATTTACTGGTATGAAAATGTTCAAAGCACGATGGACACAGAGCGGCTCGTTGCACCTTTGGCAGATGTATTTTGTTTTTCTGTTGCAAGTGACATCTTCGAGCATTTGGTATATCAATTAGTTGTGGCCAGTGCCCCCAATTACTTGTCTAATTTTAGTGCATGATGATTCGGTTTCTTCTTCTTCAAAAAGGAAGAGGTGTACCAGACGAAGGTCTTTCTCGTTTATTTTTTTTTCTGCGTTCCCAAATTTATTAATTCTCTGACAATATTTGCTTTAAATTCAAGCAGATCCTCTTTTCGATTTCCATTTTTCTTGTACAAAATCCATGCATTTACAACAAGAACATCCACAAAATGCATAAAAACTCTTATGTACCAGCATTTGATCTTAGCAGATCTTAGCATTGACCTTAGAGTTCGTATGACATCTTGCTACATCTTTCCTGTCCTGCTGTATGGAGTGGAAGCGTGGATTCTAACTGAGGCTATGCTTAAACGCTTGACAGCCTTTGAGATGTGGGTATACAGACGACTACTGAAAATAAGCTGTGTTGACAGAGTTAGAAATGTGGAGGTCCTTAGACGGCTGAGCCAAACAACACAACTGGTCAATATAATAAAGAAACGCAAGCTGGAATACTTCGGTCACATTATGAGACACCCTGAAAAATATGATCTTTTACATCTGATCATTCAGGGAAAGATCCAAGGTAATCGTGGTCCTGGTAGACGAAGAACATCATGGCTGAAAAATCTAAGGCAATGGTATGGAAAATCAACTACATCGTTATTTAGAGCTGCTGTCAATAAAGTCACGATAGCGAATATGGTAGCCAACATGATATCCAACGATCGATAACGGTCATGGAACTAGAAGAAGAAGACCAGCATTTGTTTCTTCTCCTTAGAGAATACAGGGCCAACAACTGGTCGATCAGGTCTACTTCTCTCATGTTTTTGTTATAAAACTAAACATAAAGTTGTCTGTTAACTTCTATAGTAGTCTTAGTAGATTTACACCAGCGTTTTGTTTTATTCTGAGGTTTTATTCCAGCACAATTAGAAACAATGTAGATGGTCTTGTTGTCTAGCCATTTAGAAACAATTATATTGCCACCTTCAGTACTTGCAACGGATGAAGTTTCCCTACCCTCTTGTTTTATTTGTTTATCTGTTTTCATAACAGAATTATAATTTTGTAGTCGATTCAATCGGACAGTTCCTGTCGCCCTTTTATGCAGTTCTTCGATAAGGGGAAGTGAGCAAAATAAATTATCAAAAAATACTTTATGATTGATTCTTCCCAAGTCGTCATTTAGATGCAAACTACATCAGAGCACGCTCCAAGTTTACTAATTTGACTTCTGTCCCCCGAAGCTTCTTGGTAAATCTCAAAACGATACATATATCCACTAATTCCAGCACTTGCCCAAAATTGACTCCCCACTTTTTAGCCTTTTTAGGTAAGTATTACTTTATACCCAATTTTCCTTTGAGTGGAATAAGTTACTCATCAACTGGTTGGTATTCCTTTGAATCTGAGGCACCTTTGGAATTTTATCCAAAAATGGTCTGATTTTTCGCAATTTGTCCGTGTTATTTTGATTTACATACAAGAAAGCATAAAACTCATACTTTGTAAAACCAAAATTTATTTTTATAAGATGAATATTTATTACATACATATTACATATTACATACATTCTGTCATTATTGCACCATTTACAGTTTTTTTCTCAGCCTTTTTTGGTTTTTTCTCTTGATTTTTATGTTTTGATGAAAATGCCAAAATACGCTGAGCTGAGCTGAGCTAATGGAATGTCATCTTCACTCATATCATCGTTTTTGTTTTCTGGCTGTATTTCTTCTAAGTTACTTTCAACAATTTGGTCTTCACTCGTTACATGTTCGAGCGAATTTGTCATTGTAATCAGATTCCAAATCTAAACCTTCTGGTAAATCATAAATAATGTCATCATCGTCAATACCTATAAATTCTTCATTTTCTGGTAAACATAAAGGTGTTTCCCAATGAAGAAGTAATAATATATCAATAAATAATATTTATTTAATTTCACTAAAATAATATAGGCAAGCATATAAAAAAATGCTCTCGAAACTCCCTAAATATATAATAATTCTTTGTCAGGAAAATCTCGAAATGAAAGTATTAAGATCAATAGCGGGCATATCATTAAGAGACAGATAAACCAACAGAAGTATACGCGAACAATGCAAAATTGAAAATATTAACAGGTGGATAAAAACAAGAAAAAAATCTGGAACGAACATGTAAAACGAATGGGACTAGATGTCAGACTAATTTTAGTAAATCTTTTAGTACTATTCACTATTATTATTAAACCTTTGTAATCTACTTTAACTTGTGCCAATAGTCATAATTTTGTTTCTTTATAGGTTTTCAGATTTTTTTTCTCTTTTGGTAGAAGTCTTCTTATTAGTCCACAAGGAATCTACGTTCCTGTAGCTATCTGTATACCATATATTAATAAATTTATTAAAAATCCTTTTTAAAAGGTATACATTAAGAACCCAAACCGGCTTAGTTAAACAGACAAAACGTTTTCGGAATCCATATTCCATCATCAGTGTCTAAGAGTACATGAATGTAGCCACTAAATATATGGGTAAAAACCCGTTAACAAATAATTGATTACATTTAGTTTACAAAATTTCTTATAATGATTTAAGATGTTAAAGTTACCATTGGATTAGGTAACATGGCGACATATGACTCCACGTTGAAGTTGCTAGTCTTGAGACGGTGTGTCTACGAAGACTGTATGTGAGCAACTGTAAACTGTAAACTAAATGTAATCAATTATTTGTTAACGGGTTTTTACCCATATATTTAGTAGCTACATTCATGTACTCTTAGACACTGATGATGGAATATGGATTCCGAAAACGTTTTGTCTGTTTAACTTAGCCCGTTTGGGTTCTTAATATATACCTTTTACAAAGGATTTTTAATAAATTTTTTCTTCTCATTAGATCCTATTCTTCACAAAAATGTACAAAAATACTCATATTCTTTTCAAAATAACATCTCACTGAACTTATTATTTTTAGTTGATATCTCTCCTGATATGCGGAGACATATTCATCAGTCAAACTGAAGCAAGAAGAGTGCGTATACAACAGCCCGAAGAAGAAGAAGAACAAGAAACTGTCAGCTACTACGCGGCCGAACCTCAAGAAGAAAGGGGACAAGTGGTGTTGGTATCTTCAGCAGATCGATACAATGGTAAGCAGTTTTCTTGAGACTTTTACTGTATTGCTTATATTTCTAATCCTAGCTATTACATTTTGACTGTAGATCATACAGTCACAGTCTCCGTCGAGACAAAGGAGTGTATCGCAATTGTTGAGATGTTTCTTAGTTTTAGTTAGAATTCAGAATAAAGGTAAAAATAAAATAAGCCAGTAGGAGTTTTAAGGATATGATAGCAAAAGATAAAAAGGAAACATTTTGACAAATATAAAAATCTCAACTTCAAGATGCCGAAAATAATTTTATTTTATATTTCTTTAGCCACAAAATACCGAGTACATGAGTTTGCCAGAATATATGAGCCCATAGACGGCGTATAACAAAAGTGATTTTTTTCAGGTACGCCCCTTTGTTTGGAGAAAGACGATTTTTTCTACTCTAATGTTTATTTTTGTATATCTATTATCTATGTATATATTCTTCGATTTGCGAGTTTATAACACGTGTTTTTGATAATGAGTTCGTTATCTTTGCAAAAGTGAACTAGTCTTTCACCTCTTTCAATACGTGTTCCAGTCCGTGTTCTCCTACTACTTCTCCATCTCTTCCTTTCCCTACTTTCGAGTTGAAGTCACCTAAAATCAAATATACTTCTTTTTTAGTTTCATTGAATATTTTGTTTTTAAGTCATTGTAGAAGCTGTTTACTTCTTCCTCTGTGCTATCAGATGTTGGTGCATACACTACAATGATGTTTATGTTGCACGTTTATGTATGTAGCGTTTAATTTCAATAGTGCCATTCTATCCATTATCGGTATGAACCCTTTGACTGATCTTTCGATTTCTTTGCTGATGACTATTGCTACTCCATTGCGGTTTTGTGTGTTGTTCTCTCTGGAATAGTAAAACACGTAGTTGTCTATGACACTTCTTCCGCTGTTAGGCCATCGGACTTCTATATCCAAGGATACCTATTATTAAGAGTCTCATTTCTTGTGTTAGATTATGGGCTTTTCCTAGGTACAAACTCCGTACGTTCCAAATGCATATTTTTTTCAGTGTATTTAGTTGGATGGCTGGTCTTGTAGCTGTTTTCCTCAATACATCACACTTATTGACGACCTGAGAGGCCCTGTGATCTTTTAAGTTTGTTCCTCTCCTGCCGGATCTTGGCTTCCGATTTCCGTGATCAGTAATGTCTATTGGTTTTGTTACCATGGCGATCATTGCCATGATAATTTCTTTATGTATATCCTTAAGGATCTTTAATGTGGTAGTCATCCCGTGACTTTCCACATACTTATGACGTTGGTTACTTATTTGTAACTCCTCACCCTTAGGGTCAATTTCATAACCCCAGGACAAGAGATTGCCCTGCTGCATATTTACTCGTCCTCCCGAAGCCGTTGGTCAATAAGTGGATGATTGCTTATGCAGGCAATCGTTCGGTGGAATTTTCGCCATATCTGGCTACCCTTACTTAGTTTAGCCTGTAGACCAAGGAAGTTGCCCGGGGTGTGGCACGTGGAGCAATAAGTGAGAGTTAGTTGTCTTATGAGGACCAGTTATCATGAATCATCTTCCGTCTATGACGCTCAATGTGGTCGTTCCGATAAAAGGTGCTACCTCTATAGCACAGCTCTACACCCCATATGTAAACATTAATATCAAAAATATTAATATGATATGAATATAATTCTTATGTTTTGACTCTAATGCTTACATTTCTAATTTATATATTTATAGGTCTCTATGGTCAGCAAGCTGCTTCTTCCAGAAGCATCGACAACAACTATATTCCAAGAGGATCCGCACGTGCGAACGAAGGCAGAACGAAAGAAGTTAAAGCGCCACCTGTGCAAACTATCAGGAACTACAATAAGGTCAACGATGACGGATCTTTCACTTTTGGATATGAAGCTGCTGATGGCAGTTTCAAAGAGGAAACTAGAGGTAAGTAATCTGTGTAAAGAACATTTCACGAGTTTGGCCTATTTAAATGAATAATAGAGTTAATAAAAAATTATTTCAAAATTTGAAGACAAGCACAGAAATGATCTTAACTGTCGAATACTAGCAAAAATAAGGTCTTAACTGATAAAATATTTTACATTCATTTAGAGAAATATAAAATTATTAGTGCAAAAATAGAAGAAAATTACAAATTCTATTGTTTCTAAATTTTGGTGGTAACTAGCGTAGAGTTCGACAAAACGGGACACCATTCTTGTTTATTTTTACTACGGAAAATATAGAAAAGAAATCATCACATTATCTTTTTGTAGCTACATTTATTGGAGCACACAAAAATATTATATTACTTTATGAGGCGGAGAAGCATGACTTTTCTTGACGCGCCCGATATTACGCGCCGAACGAAGTGAGGCGCGTAATAGAGGGCAAGTCAAGAAAAGTCGCTTCTTTGCCGAATAAAGTATACTATTTTTTCTTCAAACGTAGCAATTTTCAACCATAAATAGTACAATTCATACGCTATTTTTACTCGAAATTAACTGTGACAACTATCAAAGTCGTCTAGATGTTAGAAATTAAAATAATTAAGTCGTCGGTGGGATTTGCGTCTCCCTGGTTACAGTTGTTTGACAGTTGTTTGCAATTATTAAAGACAGCTTATTGTTGTTGCAACCGCAAGCGCAAATTTAGTGCGAAAATGGAAAACCTAAACGAAATTGAGTCCGCGGCTAATGATGCAGTAGCACGTTTGGGGCCCTCCAAGTCCGGAATAAAGTATCGGTTAGCGTACAAGCACTTCCAAGAGTGGTGCGATACAAGAGGAGTACGGCAAGTTACCGAAGACGTTTTACTGGCATATTTTAATATAATGGAAAATGAAAATAAATGGAAATCTTCTACAATGTGGTCACGATACTCTATGATAAAATCCGAGTTAGTTATTAGAAAAAATGTGGATATAAGCAAATTTTTAAAGTTACGTGCCTTTCTGAAAAAAAAAACAAGCGAAGGATATACTGCAAAGAAGTCTAAAGTTTTCACTAAAGACGAGTTTGATAAATTTTTGTTTGAAGCGCCAGATAAGTTGTATTTAGGATTAAAGGTAAAAAAAATTATATTGCAAAGCATGTAGTATACTCTACTAAATTATAAAAATATTTCAGATTGTTTTGTTAATTGGGGTTACCGGCGCCTGTCGATGCGACGAAATGGTAAAAATGAAGACTGTGGACATTGAGGATAAAGAAAATGTAATAATTATCAAAATCCCAGACAGTAAAACACGACAAATTAGATCTTTTACGATAATTGGTCAAAACTACATTAAACTGTATAAAAAGTATGCATCACTGCGGCCTGAAAATTTCACAGAAAACCGATTTTTTATCAAGTACCAAAATGGAAAGTGTTACCGAAGCGTCATGGGAATACATTCGATCAGCGCAGTAGCCCAAAAAGTAGCTAGTTATTTAAATTTAAACGATGCAAGCGCATACACGGGTCACTCTTTACGACGAACTTCAGCAACACTTTTAATTGATGGAGGCGGAAATCTAGAATGCCTCAAACGACATGGGGGCTGGAAATCAAGCACGGTTGCCGAAGGATATATAGAGGATTCAATAAGAAATAAGAACGATAATGCTCAAAAAATTTTAAACCCTCATGATTCGCCAACATCGGGAATGATTGCTGAAAGTTGTTCTCGACCATCAGTATCATCAACAATTACCAATGCGTATCAAGAGTCGGGAACATTTTTGCACGGTTTCAATTTTGAAAATGCCTCATTAACTAATTGTACTTTTAATATTACTATAAATAAAAATGATGTTTAATTGTTGTTAATGACATTTGTATTGTTGCTTTGTGACATGTTTCATATTGTTGCCATGACAACATTTTTCCCTCCGCCGTAAAGAAATGGGAAAAAAAACTGCTGCCGGCGGAGACATCAAACTTTGACAGGATCAAGTTAGATAAGTAATGTCATCATTATTTGACGTTTGAAAAAAAAATATTTTTCGCTATTTTTAACGACCGGAAAATAGTAAAAAAAAGTTATTAAAGTCCTACATATCCCGTTTTAGCATACCAGGGCTGGACAAAACGGATTAGGTTTACAATATTTAATCTTTTGTATAAAATTAACTAAAAAGGACAATCAGGTAGACATAAAACTGCAAAGCAAACTTTGCTCTTGATAGAACAGTATCTTCGGTAGTCAGAGACTTAAAAATAGGAGTTTTTATGTTTTATTAGTAAAATGGAAAATTAGACCTTTTATTTAGAACTAGGTATGTATATCAGAACAAAAGTGACATAAAAATATGTTGTCCTCTTCTGCGACATGAAAACACGCTTCGTGATCGTATTCTTGACATCCAGAACATTGGATCCAACTTTCATCAGCCTTGGAGTCGACGTATAACTTATTACAAAATAAACAGTTTTCTTCTCCTTTCGTTTCATTTTCAGGCGATGACGACATGTATTCTTGGCTGCTTGCTGAAGGTTTATTACACTTTTCTGTTTTGATTTTTAACATTAGGACTCTTCATTGCTTTAGATTTTTTTGTACTTTCAGCTGTGGCTGCACCTGGTAGGTCTAGATCTTTACCTTTCTCTTTCCCATTTCTTTTCCTTACAATCTTTTTTGGAATTTAGAAGAGGGATTTCTTAACAGCCCTTTCTTTTATGTTCTTTAATTTTTCTTGCACTTTAATCGTCCTTTCCTCTCCAATTTCTAACTCAATTTTATATGGAGATTATTTTATTATTGCAGTTTGTTTTACCCTTTCTCTTATTAGTCGTTTTCTATGGGTTTGTACTTAAGGAATAGGTAGAACAAGTTTTGAAGAGATGAGAAAAGGGTAGCAAAGTTTAATAACAAGAGTTTTAATTCTTCCTCTCCTGAGGATGTTGTAGGTTGGTCTGGCCATAGGCTATCTCCTGACTTGTTAGTTGGTTGGTCTACTCTTACGATGTCATTTAAAGAAGTTAAAGGTTGTTCTTGGCCTTTTCTTACATCAATCTGGTGCCAAATGCCTGGAGGTCGTAGCATCTTGACGCTTCTTCTTTTTGAGACTGCAAAACCTTAGCTCTATTTCTTTAAGCCAGCTTTATTTTGACGTGAAAGGTTTATGCTCGGAGATTTTGTCATTGGGTGGCAAAATGTAAAAACAAGTAGTATAGGAAGACGTCATGATTGTAAGCACTTAAAGCAGTTTTTGAAAACCCTTTAATGGCAGTTTCTGCAACAGCTGCTCGTGAAAACGCTACGTTGAATAATTTTGCAATTTTGTAAATGGTAACGCCCATACATGGATGATTGAACAAGCACTTTCGAACTTCTTGTTCATAATACGTGCTAAGTGGAGCCATAAAACTGACATCCAGAGGCTGAAGTCCATGAGTTTTATATGGTGGGAAAGTTAGTATGGATTACATTATTTTCTCTTGCCCAATTTACAAGTTTCAAACTTTTGGTGTAACTGTTGTATCTAGCAGAAACAGTACTGGCTTCTTATCGAAAGGGTTGGAAAATTCTATGAATTTTTTAAATCAAATAATGAAGGTCCCCTTAGTGATACACTGCAATTGATCCTGGGAAAGCATCATCCATAAGTCGTGGGCTTTCCTTCACCCGAGAAAATACAATAGCGATATATAAACAGTGGCAAATTTGTTAAATAAGGTATAGTGACAGCTTTTTCAGTATCTTTTCTAGTTCAGTGGTTCTTAAACTTTTTTAGTCGCGGAGCCTTTGTAGGGTTAAAATGTTTCGAGACCGACGAGAAGCGATTTCGGAAACGACAAAAAATGAAAAAAATAAAATTTTGAGGTTCATTGATTTCAATATAAACTTTATTTCAGATCAATAAATATTTGATATTCAAATATCCTTACTCAATGTGATGAATGCAACTGTTTCAATGATGTTTTCATTATATCCTTTATAATTATGGGAATCTTTGTCAGTTTGACCCTTAAATACCTGACTCACAGAGATAATTCTATGTGAAACCACACAAGTTTTTCACAGCAACCTTACCAACAACCTTAATTTGTAACGAAATATTTTGCCTACCACAGGGGCATTAATACGGGAGATAGAAAATTGGGGAAGAAACTATTGGGGTGGAGATAGGGCAAGCAAAATAATCGCTACTTATGCGAACGGCACTCAGGGTTTCGTAGGAGAGCTGGGGTCGTGGATAAGTAAAAGATAAGGGCATTGGAATGGGGCAACTACAAAAAAATGAAATAAAGGGCTCTTGGGATAAACAAAATAAAAATAAACAAGAAACACCTCAAGGAATTTAATATAGGGCGCCACTTGAGGTGCCTAATTATGCCTATTACAACCACTAGTTGTAACTAGGGAAATAATTAGAAAACAAAATCAAAACATAAAAAACATATCTTTTTCAAATAAACTCAAAAAGGGTTAGCTCAAAAAAATAAATAAAATGTTAAGACAACAAAATTTAACCTTTATTTATGTGTCACCACAAACAGTTACAAAATGGAGAAATACAAAATACAAAACTTACGTGTCATCCGCTTACAAACTCCAGGAGTTGGAGATACTACATAATCTTAAAAAATTTATATGGAGGTTAACCTTGTTTAAAAATAAAACAAACTAATAGTCAAAAAAAAATAATAAAAAACGAGCTGTCACAAGTTAACATTAAATTTAAAAAAAAAACTAAACACACAAATTGACAGCTCAACTCAAAACCTAAAATTTACAATTTTAAATGTCAACGAAAGCAATTATTTAATTTAAAACAAATTGTCTGTCTTTACTTTAAAATTTGATCAAAAAGTTACCTGGATTTTCACTAACAAAATGCACTAGAATTTGTGGAACCAGACGCCACTGGAATATCCGAAACCATAACTGGAACTGAGGGCTTTACTCTCTGTGCAATGAACACAACTATCTATCTCCATATCTTCATATCTCGAACAAATCTATCTCCATACTGCCAAAAGCCTTGGATGATAACCAGGGAGAAACAAAACGAGGATGGAATCGACGATTCTTCCATTCCTCACTCAAACATTTACTGAACCATTAACTTCACACTGCTACACATTTTCTTCATAAAAAAAGACGAACAAACGTCTTCATAAAAAAACACAAACAACGAGGAACATTTCGAATTTGAAGTCAAATTCGGACATAACGTTGACCGCTTTTCACCGCGGCTCCAACGATAGTGACGAAATTAAAAATTTATTCGCATAACTTGAAATATAAACAAACAACGGAAATAAAAACGTAATATCTTTTGCGACGCATAAATGAAAGAATTGCGAAGTAAAATAAACAACTCTCAAATGGTTTTATTACTCGGCGACGAAACACTTTTGGGTACTTTGAAAGATACGAACTAACAACACGGAAAACTTCTTCGTTTCATTTTTTAAAAATATATAAGGAGTTTTTAATATATTTTATTATACGAGGAGGTTTCAATATACTCAAAAGAATCAATGAAATTGAAAATGCTACAAATTTCTGAATATACCTGTATCCAGAACTTTTCTTGGCTTCCTTCACGGTATTTGAGTTTTTAACTGCTATCTTCGCTAATACAAGTAGATTTTGAACTTAATTTGTCATTCTGACAGGTTTATTTTGTGGATCGCACGAAAACGGGTCCATCATCTAGGTATATAAGTCATCTGAGTCAACGACAGGAAAGCTTACAATACTTTCTTCCAAATTTGCAAATGTGCAATAACAATCTTAAAGAAGTTCGTTTCAGGATTGATTTTATTTGTTAAACAAATTTTTGTAATAGTGAGCAAATTTTGATGTTCCTCTTTTCAACCCATGCTTTGAAAAATGTAACTTTTTTAAGTAAGGCTTTAATCTTATCTAATTGTGCTCCTTCCTTTGCCTTAAAGCAATTTTTTTTAATTTATTTATAAGCCTCTCTCTCTACAATGTCTGAAATAGTGCGAATTCTCTTGCTTATAGTGCTGTTTGACATCTGCACATTATCAATCTTCTTGGTCATATCTGGACCTAACATATATTGTACGACATCCTTCATGCAAGGTTTAATCAGTTCCTCGGCAATGGTATGGGGTTTTCCAGCTTTTGCAATGTGCAAACCAACAATAAATGATGCTTTAGTGGCGTTTTCGTTTTTATTTTTGCAGACTCTTTCCATCATGCATGACCCTGCCTAAAGAGATAAAGCACGATGTTTGAAGGTTTCTTCGGCCTTATCCGCTAAACCAGGATGATTACTTTCAAAATGTCCTTTTAATTTAGATGGAACCAAGCACCCATTAGCAACAATTTTGCATTTTGCGACAATTAACGCATTGGCCTTCTGGTGCTTGTTCATTGCCAACTTGAATAAAGCCATATAACGTGAGATAGCTAGGATCGTACCTTCTTATTTTTCCCGAATTTCTTTTTGGTACGGAACCTCCTTTCCACGAATTGAGGGAGAACAACTTGGATGAGTTGGACTTGAATGGATCTCGTGGACATTTGCATCTTCTCCATCTCTGCTAGTTGTCACTGAATCAGTTGATTCAGATGCTTCAGTGACTTCACTACATTTCCTTTTCAAAGACCCAGATTTCAGCCAATTTTCTATTATTCTGGAATGAAAAAAATGTCCAAATAAAAGAGAGCAAAACATTGCCAACAATGAAAGGTATTTTCCAACCGTAATAGTGCAAGACATATTTTATGGCAAAAATAGCAACAAAAGTACACAATATTATACACATTTATTCCAATGAATATAATTACTTACGTCGTCACTTTTCTTCTGCAGTTCCTAAAACTTCCACTTTAAAATCTAACTCTAATTTTTACAAAACTCATATTTCGATTGGACAGTGGGGCCGTGGCCGGTTGTTCGACTTTTTTTAAATATTCCACGTCACCCTTGGCAGATGCTTAAGGCACCCCAGGGTGCTGCGTCAGCCACTTTGAGAACCTCTGTTCTAGATGCATATAGTTAAGAGAATATCATCAATAAATATATCTCTCAGTGAAAAATAATAGTTTTAATAACTTGAATTGCAAATAAAACGAGTTATGAACCTTGAGAATTTTATAAAATTAGAAAAAATCCTTGAAAATTATATAAATTACGGAAAACATTGTTGTTATAAAAGATTGAATAGTTTGTAGAAATATTTTATTCGTATACTTTGCATTTTTGTGCAACTACTAAAATGCTGGTCACACGTCATTGAAAATCTGCAATTTTCGCAAAGATTATACATGCATTCATGTAGGTCATGATCATATTCATTAATACAATTAAAACAGCATTGAAACAACTCATATTTACTTAATTTAATGGGCTTACACTGACAGTTACGGTTATTTCTTCATTGACATGAATTTTATAAACAAATTATTAGCAAAATTTGCTATCTATATTTTTTCCTCCTCGAGAAATATCAACGATATTATACTTCTTTACTCTTGCATTAGATTTTAAGTCGGTATTTTTGTAGTTTTGTGGAATTTTTCCTAACCGTAGGGATCTGTTCTAAATATTATAATCAATAAACATCTGTTATAGGCACTGACTGTGTGGTAAGAGGAAAATATGGCTATGTAGACCCTGATGGCAACAAAAGAGAATTCACTTATGTCTCAGGAAACCCATGCGACCCTAATGCCCCCAAAGAAGAAGAGGAAACTGAAAACGAAGCAGATAACGAAAACATTCCTGCTAATTATCCCTCACGACCCATACAACCGCAATATCGTAGACCTGTAGTAACAGCTGCACCCAAGCCTGCTGTGACTCTCTTCCAGACCAACTATGCTCAAGAAGAAGAAGAACCAGAGCCTGAGCAGCTATTAAGAGTGACACCCCAACCACAGGTAAATATAATATAAAAATTTTGTTTTTATTATTATATAAATGTAGGTCTATTAAGTTCTTTTATTATTTGAAAAGGAACTAATGTTAGAATAAAAGTCCGCGATCCATACGAGAAATCTTTATTACATAAAAATAAACTGTAACGATGTTATTTACAGGTACACAAAATTACTGATAATCGTCTGCGAATTAAAATATCGACACCCCCGTCGTTAATTAATTTCGTCTTTTGTCTTTAAAGATCAATCTGCCATACACATTATCTATCGAACGCGGCTTCGTCTTTTCCGGCCGGTGTTGCACAATAATTAACCTTTACAGCGCGAGTGCCAAATATCGAATCCCACATTAGGTCAGGAATATGTGATTTCGTCTACCTTTCCCTTTAAGTGGTATCTCGCAGTGGCGTAACTAACGAATAAAACTGTAACCTCGAAACCTTTTTTGGATGGCGCTAGAAAGGTCACCAATGGAGACACTGCATACGCAGCCAGATAGGTTGTGAGAGCGAGTCGTGGTTCGAAACTAGCTTTTAGAACCGGAATGCGTCCCACGACGAAATAAGTAAAGATAGACAAAGAGAAGATATATTAGAAAATATACAGAAATAAAACCAAAAGGTAGATGGTACTTACCAAGCGATAAATACCAAACTTTACCAAAGATAACATAAGATCGAAACAGGGCGCCACTCTAATTTTTTGGGTTAAGGAGAAATTAAGAACCCTTAGAAAATAAAACGAGATAAGGAAAATATATTTAGGTCTGAGACCAAATTTGCAAGAAAACATTAATCCAAGCGATATCTACATTTAATAATTAAATAAATTTGGTCCAACACTCTACATAACAAATATAATAAATATATTAGTAGACTACGTCCACCTACTTACCTGCAAAGGAAAACGTAATCAGCACCTATCTTTCTTCGATTGAAGGTATAATAATAATTTAAGTATAATAAGCAAATGTCAGAGGTATTTTTAATCAGAAACTTGTTAGGAGTCGACAAATAAATATCATACATAAAACAAGAACAATAATATTCACACACAATGAATAGGCGGCTGAAGGTACACACAATTAATAAAAATACAATATCAATTAATTATTAAATGGTATATATACAATTGAAAATAAACAGTTTATGAATAATAAATAACTTTACAATACATATTATCAAAATCATGCACAGTTAAAATTAGTCAGCGAAGAGACTTTGATTCTATTTAAAAATATTCAACTAAAGTTGATACAGAAAGTCTCTCTTTGTTGCTGTTTACATGGGCGTATTCTGGAGATACCGGGGTTAAAAATGTATAACACTTATAGCAAATAACAAAAATTAATCAAATTTAAATTCACAAGAATACAAAAAGGTTACCAGAATGCTGTATTATAAAAATTAAACCAATTCGCACTTGGTCTTAGTTAATTATCTATCTCGCACGGTTACATAATGATTGACTGAGAATTAAATGTTCGTAATTTAGAAGTTCTTAATAGCTGATGGAAAGTTCGTAAGAAAATATTAAATGTTTTTTAAATTCAATTGTTAAATCGGTAGTTAACCTTAACTACAGGTGAAGAAATGCTTAAACGTAGATTTGTCCAAATAATTGAAGATAATATGATAACATACCATATTATTCGCCCAGATAATTGAAGATACTATGATTATGATAACTTACAGTAATTCTCGATGACTGCTGCACCAAACTGATTCTACATACTATACTTGTATCAAGCACTGAAGTTAATTAAATTAAAATGTACTCTATACCAATATTTAATCTAATGTGGTATTAGATTAAGATACGCAAATATTTAAGTGTATACAGACTTACAAAAATTCACAGAGAACAGAGACGGTTTGATATGGCGAGCATCCTTACGCAAAGACTGCCCTACCAGAAGTAATGTGGTTCCTCTAAAAATTTCACAAGCTCCCCCAAAAGTGGGGTAACTTAAACTTAAAAATGACAGGGCAGACAGTATGTATTTCTAAGAAGGTAAGGTTCTAACGAACATCAAAAATAACGGTATCCTTCTAACTAGAAACGTGATGAAATGCAAATCCTTTTGGATTAGGCTTTTACAGATACATACCATAAAATGCTTTCGACGATTCTGTTTGCCAAGTTTCGTTTTGTTTGCTTAAAAATTAACCGAGGATTACCTAAACCATCGTCTTTTAATAAGTAAATTCGTCCGTAATTTGAGGTAGTCGGTAGATTGCAATAAAAGTTCCTAATCGTAAACACGACCACCCACGTATATATTTGCAAATACTGCCATGGGCATCTCAGGCAACAGAGGTGAAGGGATTAAAAATAATTTAAAATTTTAATTATAAAAAAATGTTACAAAATTATGCTAAATACTAAACGTAAGAAATATTTCCTACAATAATATATTATTTTGGTAGCCTGTGCGTCGTCCAACCTACATTTCACGCCCACAATACGTACCACAGACAACACCCACAGTAGAAGAACGTCCAACTTACCGTCAACAAGTACATTCCAGCACAACGCCATCTTCTGTGATCTACAGAACCAGCGCTCATCCTGTTAGCATCACTCCTAGACCAATAACTACTACCACAAGACGACCACAACCTCCAGCAACCACTTATAGACCACAACTGGTTCAAGTTAGTGTGACACCAAGACCCAATCCCCTTTTGTATTCTAAACAGTTACAAGTAAGTAAAAAGTGTCTTAAAGAAAGGAGAGAGGTTGTAATGATTGCTTTGTTTACAGTCCACTTTGCAGCCCTTGCCCGACAAGAACGACTTTGAATCGGAATTCCACAGGTTCCAACAGGAAAATAATATAGTGTCTCCTACGCCAACACCTTTTACTGTAAAACCGACTACACCTAAGCCTAAACCTGCAGGAAATCCAGGTAATCTACAAGTATGAGTTATATTTGCCGAATAATTTTATTTTCTTGTTCAAATAGTACATATACTCATCTTCTTTTCTATATAGGTCAGGTTTACTCTACAGCTTTAGTTTATGATCCTTCCACTGGACAGTACAACAATCAGATTTACCAAGCACTACCACAATCTGATGGAGACTTCCTGTTGAAGCAAAGAATACAACCATACGTTCAAAGACCTCGTCCTCAAGTGTTGAACATTCAACAACTTCAGCAACAAAGTCCACTTTATTCTCAAAATCTAAGGCCACAGCCTATACCACAGGTAGTTATAGCCAGTAAACTATTAATAAATTAATATAAGGTTGAATGTTCGAATAATTAAACTTTGAGGGTATACAAGGCAACTATCGAACACGGTGATTAATTTAATCTTGACCAAGTACTTTCGATCAATAGATCATCTTCAGGGGCATTTTTTCAGTTGTGGCCTATCCGACATAGTAGAATGTCATAAATGTAAAATTTGGACATAACAAGACAATACACTAAGACAAACAAACACTTTAAAATTTTTTTAGGAATTTTTTAGGAATCTCGAAGATTCTGTCTCCGGCTTCTATACAACATATAGCTTCTCCTTAAAAAATTTTTAAAGTGTTTGTTTGTCTTAGTGTATTGTATTTTGTATTGTTATGTCCAAATTTTACATTTATGACATTCTACTATGTCGGATAGGCCACAACTGACGAAATGCCCCTGAAGATGATCTATTGATCGAAAGTACTTGGGCAAAATTAAATTAATCACCGTGTTCGATAGTTGCCTTGTATACCCTCAAAGTTTTATTAATAAATTGTAAAATCTGTTATAAATAAGATCTACGCCAATATCTGATAAACGTATTATTTGGATCTGGTATAAATAGACCTCTTGTACGAAAGCTAAATCGAACCTTCTCATGCCAATGTTTCTCATGCTTTTTCGCCTATTCGACCCTGATTGCAGTTATTAAGACCTAATTGAACCAGAACTTCCCAACCCAGTCTGTCCTATGCGGAGTTCTACTCAGTATAGAGCTCTTGTGGCACAGTCTTATACCAATACTAAACTCTTTCCCACTCTATTTTTCTATCTCATATATTTGTCAACCTTTTTGTATTTTTTAGTAAATACAAAATTGTGAGTTTTGACACCACAACGCGCTTTCATGAACTACATTGTTTTTAAACTTTAAACAAAAGTTTTTCTGTTTTATTTAGTCTGCCTATCAAGCGCAACAGTCTGAGCTCCAATTCCAGAACTCTGCTCAACTTTACGCGCAGCAACAACATGCCAGGGAGCAGCAGAGAGAGCAGCAAAGACACCAACAACAAGCGAGACCTCAACAGCAACAGGTGTACTACCTTCAGCCTTCCGTGGACCAACAGGGTGGATTGGCAGCCAGCCAGATCGACGCGTTTCTTAGAGGGCACAATATTCAGTTCTAGAAAAGTAACCAAATCGCAGCTGTGAATAAAATAGGTACGTTTATTTACTGTTTTTTATTTTGGTTGATTTTTAATCAATATTTGGTGACATTTAATTAATAAATTTTTAGTATAAAAATTAGTAGTACGACCATTAGTGAAACAAGAGTCAGGAAGTATCAAACTACATTAAACTAAAAATCACAGAAAATATTTTCAAAACAAATATTACTGTAAAATTAATTTCCTACTCAATGTCATTCTAGCAGATCTATCACTATGCAAAATAGAAAGAAAACCTTGTAGAATATAAAAGTCGACATTTCGATGGTATATCGATCTAAAAAAAGCATTCGACTAGAGAACAATTTAAGAAGAAATTCTCAGAATTTCTAAGAATAAAAAGTAAACTAAAATTCCTTGGGCAGGTATAAAAAAATGTTCTTTGTAAGATGAATGAAGTGATTATTGAGCAATATTATAAAAACCAAGACACGTTTCAATTGAACGTTTGAACCTATAAGACAATATCCAAGTCAGTGAAAGCGCAAAGATATTGAAATATCGGCAATCACGCCCTATGACGCAACAATTATATGTGCACGACATTTTGTTACGCTAAAGTGGAGCTTTTCACCCATAACAAATTCTATACGGGGGTTATACCAGAAGAATTCATTTCTACGTCGATGAGTGGGACAATGTATGATTTTATAAGTATTGTTTTAAGAAGACCTCTATAAAAGATAGACCTCTTATCTAAAGTATTAGGTAAATTTCGAAAAATTGATAGTTTTTATTTTTATTTCAACAACCATTGTGTTTATTATTTCGCATTCTTTGCCCATTTCTCGCAATACTTCCCTGTTAGTTTTCTTCTGTGTCCATGCTATTTAAGCATCCTCCTGCTACACCACATTTCAAAGGACTGTAACTTATTTATGTGTTTTTGCTTCAATGTCCAGCTTTCAAATTCATATTTCATTATCGAAAACATGTAGCACCTCAGTGCTCTTACTCTCAGTTCTAATCTAAGATTTTTGTTGTAGATAATGGTTTTTATTTTTACAAACGCATTTCTTGCTATTTCTATGCTAACTTTTATTTCGGTTGTTTGATCATTATTGTCTGAAATCCAGGTTCCTAGGTGTTTGTATTTATCAATCCTTTCTATCGGTACATTTCCCAAAAGTATGTTTGTTGGTATATTTCTTTTCTTTGTTATTATCGTGTATTTGGTCTTTTGTATATTCATTTTTAGTCCGTATTTTTCACAGAAAGTGTTTGTTTTGTTTAGCAGTAATTGGAGTTGTTCAGCAGAGCTTGCCATAATCACGGTGTCATCTGCATATATTATGTTGTTAATAGATCTTCCGTTAATTATTATTCCTTCACTGTGAGATAGTCATGTTTCTTCAAAAATGGATTCACTATATACATTAAATAGTAATGGGGACATAATTCATCCCTGCCAACTCCTCTCCTGATTTCAATTTATGGACTGGGTTCGTTATCTATTATGATTTGTGCTCTTTGATTCCAGTAGAGGTTTGTTATTATTCGTAAGTCCCTATGGTCTATGTTTTTGTCTTTAGAATTTGAACTAATTTTTCATGTCTTACTTTGTCAAATGTTTTTTCAAAATCAACGTAACAAACATGCACATGAATATTCGTATCCATGCATCTTTGAGCTCACACGTTAAAAGCAAATAACGCTTCTTTGGTTCCTAGTCTGTTTCTCAACCCAAACTGACTATCATTTATTCCTTCTTCCAGTTTTTTACCTTCATATTACAGGCAATAATTATCATCATCAATATCATACAGGTTTTTATTTACAAACTCTTTTAGTTGTTTTGCAGTAAAAGGTAGTCACTGAAAAAAAAAACAGTTTTCTCAATATTTACGCAAAACATCTTTTCGTAAATACTAACAAAAGAATCTTATACTCTATAGATGGGTTTCTTGTTAATGCAAAGATTAAAATTAAAGTGAAATAGATGGTATATGTTTACAGGCCTGTAGATGCTGTAAAAGCTTGTAAACAGTATAAAAAACCTATTAGGGATTGTGAGTATTTTTTTCCCTTAAAATTCATGAATATGTGCTCGCACCAGCAACCCTTTCATCACTTATAAAAGATGTCTCATTTTCATATGAAAGGCTAGAGGGCCCACTGACATTCTTACAAAATACAGTTTCTCAATTTGTTTTTGTATTCATGAAAAATAATAGTCAGATTTATAAGAACATTAGATTGGGTATATTTGTAATCTTGAATAGACTAAAATAACTTTTAAAAATCTATATTTACTCTATATTATTACAAAGTTTTTCACATTATATTTTACACCACTACACTTTTTATTATCTATCTAATATTTCAATGAATAAACTAATGGAAAACTGCAATAAATTAATATAAGAATAGCAACGGTAAATTACCCTATTATATACTGGTAGCTTTAGGATCTTTACCCCTCAACGGCCTTCAGATTGGTGCAGGCAAACGCGAGTCGTATAGTGTCTAGTTTCACTAAAGTTTCTATGCAATGATACTATGTGTACTTACGGTCTAGTACTCATAGGTTAGAAAAATAAGCTTTAACCAAAATAGTGGTAAATATAGCTACCACTGACAATAAAAGGCGGTACATTGTAGTATTTTAAAATCCCTTGGTATATATCGAAATCCCCTCGTATACGTTAAAACAACGAAAAAGTATTTTCAATCCTATTTGCGTCGCTGAGGTCGATAATAAACCATTTCACAGTTTGTTTATTTTTCGCAGACGCATATTCTTTGGTATTTTATTTGATCGAAAGCCGCTCCATATTGCGTTTCAAATAAACATCCATTTAGATCACTAAGAAGGTTTTGCCGGAAAGATAATTGCGACACTTTCGGTCGCAAGTCCAGCCTCTGTTAAGGGCGTCTTTAGTTTTATTGGAGTCCGAATTTTCATCAAATTCGTAAATATCTTCGTTTGTCGCCCTTTATTATGGAAATGTGTATTATGGCAGTTAATAGTTCCAACTAAAGTGATGTTTAAAATGGTAACAATTGGTTGCAGACGTGTTTAATTTAGTCGAAAAAGTGATTTTACTCAACGTAATGTGTCTGATTAGATAAGAATAATCACTGGTTTTTATTGTAAGCAATCTCTCATATGAGATATTTGTAAAACGGCGTCTACAACAACTTTGATGGATAACCACATCTTGCCATTGTGTCCAGCTGTACCTATTTCTGTTTTTGAAGATGCCGAGTCCAAGGTTTGCGTCTAGTGCTAATTTCAACTTCAAATTGTTGTCCTAAGAAGCCGTTTCAAAATACTCTTCGTAGTATGGAGATGAATTTGTTCGTGTATCAGAAAGTGTAAGTCTAGTTTCCACCCCATAAGTTTTAGTACAATCCAGGTAATTTTTGTGTTTAAATTTTAAAGGAGAAGCTGCTGAAATTTCCTCAAAGCTGTGTCCTTATTGTAAATAGCTAGAGGACCTTCTTTTGTTTTGTTTGTCAATTTGTCTAGGAAATTCATGTAAGTACCCTCTTCTTGTTTCATTTTTGTAGTTACACCAATCCAATCCCACTGTTTCATTCACTGATCCACGACCCAGTTCTCCAAATAAACCCTGAATATCCGTTCGCAACAGTTTTGTTTATTTTGCTTGCCCTATCTCTAGTCCCGTAATTTCTCTCCCCAATTTCCAACCCCATATAATAATACCCTACGTGGTAGACAAAAATATTCGTTACAACATCTTAAGTCGTGGGTTCTGTTTTTGTTAACTGTTTGTGTAGTTTTTTATTATTTTCTGTCATGATTTGTAAATTTGACTTTTAAAATATCTACTGTTCCTTATGTTTCTACGTTATTTATGAATGTTTTTGTTGTTAACGAGCTCTTCCCTAATATTCTACCTATATGTTTACATGCATGTGATCTTTTTATTGCTTGACATTTTTATAAAACTATTCTGATGTGTAGGTACGTTATTATTTTTATTAGTGATCTCTTTTTAATCTCGTTCTCTAATAAGATTCTGAAATTATTTTTTTTAGAATCTTAATTACTTTGTTTAATGGAAATAAACCACAATTTTAATTGAAACACTTTATATTACACATTTGTTTTTCCACTTCGGAAATTAAATTTTCATTCTTTATTTTTGACATTTTACAAACGGTGAACATACTGTATTTTTAATTAAAGTTGAGGTCTATTTCTATGCAATATATTTATCAATATGAAATTTATATATTATTTAATCCTGAATATCCCTCGTATAACAATTTCGCATCAGGTTATTTCAATATAGCGAAAGGACGCCTCATTGTCACGGTCGTTGTCTCTGTTTGTGTTCAACTGCATTCCAAATAGGTCACTTTTATAGCCACAAGAAACAAAGATCTACAAATACGAGTAATTTTCTGTATACCGTGGATTATATAAGAATAAAAATATAGTAATTACAGTACATGAAATAAAAAATGTGGAAATTCTACAGGATATTTAAAAATAATGGAGATATTAAGTAGATACGAAATTAAGATATTTAACAATTTTTGTACAATAATGTACATGCGACAAATTTTATAGATATCCTTTTGTGAAAAATAAAATTTAATCTTTACTATAAAATCAAAATATCTTTTACAAAAGATTAAACATCAAACTGTCATACGCCAAAACAAACATTTTTAAAACAGGATAAAATTATGACATTACAGTTTAAACCACGCCCTAACATAATATTTATTTTAATTACAAATATTTTTTTAAAAAAATAATTTATAAAAGAAAGCAAATTTTGTCTTTTTAAAAGAAATTGTCTAATTTTACTTTAAAAATTAATAACGTAAATGTTACCTTAGTTCACACATGTTAACCTAAACTTTTGAACAACTGGCTAATTTCTATGGGGTATCTAACTGCACATCAACGGAAAGCTTTATTGGAAGCTGAAACTGGCTCATTCAAATCAAAACTGCTTCAATATCATTCTACGTGAGGTGAAAAGGCATCTCGGAAAGGAAATGGATTTCTCA